CAGAAGTGGGATACACGAGGAACGAATACGTGCCTATAGTTGATCGGCCTATTGAAATAGAATTACTACGCCGATAGCGACGAGATGGGTCGCCATAAGTCACGTCGGGACAGTGAAGAAAGCGGTAAGAGATGAAGAGACCGCCATGCACGTTCCCTGTCATCGCACGAGGATAAGAGACGAAGAGACCGCCATGCACGTTCCCCGTCATCGCACGAGGATAAGGGACGGAGAGAACGCCATGCACGTCCCCCGTCGTCGCACGAGGATAAGAGGCAAAGAGAAGAGCGTTTCGAACGACTGGAACGCATAGTAGAAAGTATGGATCGATGATCGAGCACACGAGGCTCGTGCATTCATCGAGGAGACGAGCAGATGATACCTATATTCGATCCATCAAAGGATGATTTGGTAATTGAGAAATGGATCGAGCACGTGGACGACTTAGCCACGCAATACGACTGGGACGACAGGGCCATTATGCGGCTAATACCGGGCCGCCTAAAAGGCCATGCACGACAATGGTACGATACGCGACCACGACTGGCTATCACGTGGACGGAAATGAAAGAATCCCTTAAACAACAATTCTGTAAGTCAGTCCCTTTCAGCAAATTATTCAAGGAAGTCGCGTTGTACGAAAGTGCACCCGGTCAAGCACTCGGAGATTATTGCTTTCAGAAGCTGAACAAAATGCGTAAGTTAGACGTTAGTATACCCGACAAGTATCTTATTGATGCAGTGATCAGCGGAATCACTGACGAGAGTGTAGCTAGAACCGTACGATCCGCTCAACATTGCGACGCGAACGCGTTATACGTTTATATGACGTTAGGTAATCTTTCTTCGAAAGGTGAGAAGAACAAAACCGCGGCGATGTCTAGTTTTAGAAACGAGCGAAAAAGTCAATCGTCGGGGCGCGCGATAAATCAATCGCAAGTTAAGGAGGACGAAAACACCAAGCCAACAGACGGTAATACTAGTACGGTAAAATGTTTTAATTGTGGTAAGGCGGGTCATATCGCGAAGAAATGTCGTATGCCTCGCATAGAGTGTGAACAGTGTCACCGCTTGGGACACAACGTCGAAAAATGCCCTTCTAGAAAGGACGTGAATGCCGTAATGGAACGAAAACGCTCGGCGAATTTGTATGAAAGGCCGGTGATTGTGAACGGGCATAAAATCGACGGGCTGCTAGACACGGGAAGTAGCTGTAGCTTAATAAGAAAATCTGTTGCCGAAAGATGGAATATACCGATATCCATTACACCCGATAGTGTGCTAAGAGGTTTTGCAGGGCAGGTCGCAACAAGTAATCAGGCGGCAGCTTGCAATATTCGAATCATGAACGCAACCGCCCAGGTTGACGCCGTGGTGGTACCGGATAACCAGCTTGTTTACGACATCATAGTCGGCCGCGATTTCTTAGAACAGGAGCACATTGTCTCTATAAAACGGGGAAATAAGTTAACGCTCGAACAATTACCTACACTTAACACGGAACTCGAGGCTATCGAGGACGTAAACTTTGCGGAAATTACAAACGATGCGGTGAACATCAACGTCGAGAGCGAGGAGGCGAAGCCAGCGTGCGTAGATTTAATCCGAGAATTTCGCGATTGCGTGGCGTATTCGATAAAAGACCTAGGTAAGACAGAAGCCGCGTCGCTAGTCATTCGCTGTACGTCCGATGTACCTGTGGTCTATCGTCCATATCGCTTAGCAGAGGCTGAGAAGCAATTCGTAAGAGGGATTATCCGGGAACTTTTAACTAATAACATTATCCGGGAATCAAATTCGCCATACGCTAGTCCGATCTTACTGAGACT